CCTCAGCAACAGGACGCCATAGGATCTCAACATACTGCTACGTTCCGTCATGCTATGAGAAGAGCTTCGGCATGTTCCACAAGCACGGGCAGCCCAACAACCATGCAACCCAGGTGCAAGACCATGTACACAGCTGTAAAGAGGAGCAAGGCCCCGAGGCCATTGGAACGTCGAGCTGCCTGGGCGATGCGCAGTATGCGCAATGCTAAAGCGTCAAGCTGCCATGCATGATGCACAGATAATTGGGTGGCAGGCCATAGCTTTGCGAAGCGCGTGCTTCAAGTATAAAATGCTGACTAGCTTGGACCCCCTGTGCAAGATCGGGCCCGAGATATGCGAGATGCAGTACACAGCATATGCCGAGTCAAGATGAGCTTGGCAGACATGCATCTTCTTGAGCAGCTACCGCCACTCTAACACCACTCTAAGACTATAACATTGCACACATTTGCACACGCATCCACACTGCAGAGCGGGCAGAGTGCCGAATGTCGAATCGGGCCATCAAACCTGGCGTCACACTGCACATGAGCTCAAATGGCCTTGCACGGCCGAAGGCCCGTGTAGGTTGAAAACAGATCGGGAGTCTGGCATCTAACTTCGAAGCCAGTGACCTCTACAGGGGTGAAACGAAGCTGCTCAGATGCCGGGCCCTGGCTTCCGGTAGATGAAGACCGGCCTCTGCTGAAAAGCCACTCCCCCAAACCCAGGTCTCGATCACCCCAAACCCTCAACTCGTACCTCCTAAGCCAGGTGCTCCTGCCCGAAAAAAAACCAAAGTGTGGAACATTGTGGAGCTCTCAAGGCACCTGCAAATAGCACGGTGCCTCCTGAATTGCAAAACAGCAATGACGCCGGACCGGGAGCGCCCACGCAACTCAGAGCTTGCACCCGGCCAGAAACCAATTTGTGTAATTGAAACTGGGCGGAGTTTGATGGTGAGCACGCGCCTGGTGGCAGCGCATCGAACTTCCCATGTCTAACAGCCTCCAGCCTGACAGGATCTGCAGGCTGCCGCTAAGAGTTTTGTGAGCCAAACTCCTGCCCAGAGTACATACCCCATTTGTTATTGTCCATGTGACTCTCCTTCCACTCGTGGGGAAAACCCCCCAAAGATCGGTTGCAGCTTGCGGAGAGTGTCCATATGGCTGCTGGGCTGGCAATTTTCCGCTGCTGGGGTCAGGGAGTGCTTGGAGGCAGGGCCAATTATTGGGACTCCTCCCCAGACAGACTCCATGAGCAATGAGCAGTGGGCTGCTTTTGTTTGGTCGACTTGACTCGACTTGCTAAACCCTCCTGAGGTGAATGGATGGGCAGGACTTGCCCAGGAATTGCTTGGCGGCATGCACGAAGAAGGCAAGAATCGACAGGCAAAGGGCTTTGCGCCCGAAAAACCAATGAAGGCAGGCGTTTATGAAAGCACGCTCTTACATCGTCTACACGCCATACTGCCCTAGCAGAATGATAACAACTTTGCTTCCAAGGCTCGCATTGCCTGAGCCAACTGTTCGGTACAAGACCTGGCCAGACAAACTTCTAGTTGCTACAGCGCTGCAACGGCTGGAAGCCATGACACACAAGCAGGACGCCTGTCGCACAAGCTGCAGAGCATGGGGTCCACCATGGGGATCACCAAGAGGTCGCCCGATTGAGGCAATGCGAGTTCCTGGCTGCGTCCTGCAAGGACCCGAAATTCCGGATCACTGATTATAATGATTACAATCTCGCTGTGTGCTCTTTGCAAATCCTGCCTGTCCAGGCCGGCCGTGACCTGAGCCACCGAATTTTCCAGCGCTTCGCCACTGACGAGAATGGTGCTCGCCTATGCTCACACGCAGCGCACGTGCCAAATCTGCAGTGTCCACTTGCCTGATGCCAGTCGTTCTGCGAGTCCAGGAGGTTGCTGTTGTGGAGCAGCACCCGACTCTGGACCTTCAAAAGCTCACAGTTGCGCGGGCATGTCAAGAGTCCAAGAGGCAGACGGCCAAACCTCTGCATCCATCTTTTCGACAGCGGCTACAGCAGCTTCGTGGAGTGCCGCGCAGCGCTCAATTCCACAGGCCATTCCTCCGCAGTCAGACTCTTTTGCACCTTTTTGAAGCCGATCCCAGACCCAGCCTCGAGGAACGAGAAGCGCCCAGGCTGCCACGACGCGCGCGACCCCGCTGCACAGGTGCAAGAGCCTCCACCACATTGACCACTGCAAATGCATCACAAGCATATACGTCACCGCAGCCCACCACCAAAACTGAGATGTGAAGGGAGATTCGTCGGTTCATCAACATGATCTATGGAGATGCTGCAAGAACACGGGGTTCCTCCACGGCAAACCTCTTTATGAAGTTGCTTTCGAAGACCTGCTTGGGCAACAGCTGTCCCAACGCCTAGCTCCGCATGTCTCCTGCAATGTTACAAGCACATTAAACTCTTGATTTTGTGTCAGGAGGAAACCTGAAACTTCAGCTATGCACTCCTTTCCATGCATTGAAAAACAAAGCTAAGCGAACTGTAGAAAGCTAGAAAGCTAGCAGAGGCTACAACCAGCTAAGGGTGTGCTTCCCTAATGCTGCCATCCTTGGCTTGCAATGCCAGCCAATAGGTGGGAGGGTTCACCGTGGGCCATGGATGATTACCGGCAGGTTGTGTTGAAAGTGAACTGCATCGCAGAAATCTACTGAGAATCAAAGAAGTGTACAGAAATCTGACAAAGGCTAGACAAGGCTTCAAAAATTAACAGTCCAGGCAACGATTTTCCTAGTTAGGTTAGTCTGGGAAATGCATTCTGGAAACATGTCAGCGTTGCATGACAGCAACTTCAAGAAAGGAAAGTTCAGGATTTTTTGTTGGCTCTTTCATAGTGCTATGCATGAATAGAAAATCAACCCATGCAAGACCATCTAGCAAGCCCCTTCGAATGTCATTCCGGAGCTCGGGTTCAAAGCCGTGGGAGTTCTGCAAGCAGCGGAGGAGAGACTGAATTTTCAGGTGAAGTCCTTCCAGAACTGTCCTTTTTGTCATCTCAAACTTGCAAGCACGCGGAAGAGCCACAGGATCTCGATTGAAATGCTGTGGCTGGCCTGAGCTGCGATTGGCTCTGAAAAGTCTGTCTGTGCGCCCCCTATGTACCGGTTCGGGACTGACACTTCCTTCTCCCTGCAACCAAGACACGCCGCATAAAATCGCGGATACGGGTTGTCTGTCCTCAGATGCAGTTCTAGCTCTGCTGAAGGCTCATGAGGCTTTGAAAGGCCCTTGGACGAGACGAGCTCTGGATGGTAGTTGCTTTGATTGCACTTCGTTGCGGCCCAGCAGCCATTTTGTGGGACACAGCTGCCTGTCCGTCCTCCTTCCACATCAGTGCATGCAGTGCACAAGACACTTACTTGTCAAAAAGATCGCCTGAGCTCGCACAGGCAGCGTTCCAGAAAGGTTTCTGCGGAGTAGATGAGCTGCCTGTGTTCGCATCTCCAAAACGAAGGGCATGCATGTCTGACGCAATCCTCACTACAGAGAAGTATTCCCAAAAAAGCAAATGACTGAGGCAAACCGGCAGCCTACTAGCTGGGGTGAAATGTCAATTGCCCAGGCACGCTTCATCACATCGCTGACCCTGAGCAGTTGCTAGCAGCCATTCTGGGCGGGCCTGCAGCATGACCATGACAGCCGGCTTGAATGGAAAACCCAGCTGCGGAAAGATCTCTGCGGTCGCCGCGGGCAAAATAGCCTGTCGCTCGCTTATCTGCACCGCTTCTCCCACAAAGTGTTTCACGAAACTGTAGCCAGCACCCCAGTTCTGCTCGGGCTCAGCTTCTGGGCACAACATGCCAACCTCGTGAAAACCTGCGCCATGACTTCCGTACTTGGACGGGACGCAGAACTGGCCGGTCACCACGCTTAGGCGCTGGTTTTTCATCTCAGCCGCCACCCGGATGTCCCAAGTCGCGTCTGACCAAACACGCCCGCAGATCCAGGATATGCAGCAACCTGAACTCAGCGGGAGGAGAGTGCCAGCCCAGTGGCAACCACCAACAAAGGAGACAGACATGATCGGATTCTGACTCAATTCATCACACGAGTGATCGTTGTTCATCTCAATGACGAAGCCAGACACATGAATTCGGTTGGCATCATTAAAGGGTGCCTTGCACCAGTACTGCCTTGCCAAAAAAGGCAGTGTGGTGAGTACAAGGTCGGATAGGGATACCTGGAAAGGAAATAAGCTGCTACGCGCATCCACATCCTCATCTGCCCAAGGGAACTCTTCCAGAAGGAACAGCTGACTCAGCGACACTTCTTCAAATTCTTGATGCATATCCTGTCGAACCAATCCAGCCTGAAGGCTCGCACCACTACAAAAGAGAACATGACTTGACACATGCAGTACCATGGCACATTTATTCCCAACAGGCCTGGAAAAACAGAACTTCTGCTTCCACGCTTTCTCGCATGAGATCCAGCCACATGTTGACAGCCCTGGCCTCCATGTCCCTGACTGAACTTGTGTCATAGAGTCCTGAGTAGGTGATACGCATCGGTTTCGAATCGGCTTCCTCCGCCTTGGCAGCGTACCTTGTGAACAACTCTTGCGCTCGAGCTAGCCAAGGTTTACTGCCGCCTTGCTTTGCGCAGGAACCTGCAACCACAGGCACAGCGGACAGGCTTCCAACCGGATGGTTGGAGCCCCTCGATAAATCAAAGTCCAGTTTGGCCACGATGCGAGCGTCCGCACCGGTTTTCACTAAGAAGGTTGTTCCGTTATCCCGCCGCTTTAGCCTCGCAAAGCCTATGTAGTGATCATGGCCACCGATGATGGCATCCAGGTGCAGCCCTGCATGTTCTACTGCCCTGAACAAGTTCAAGTCATTTCCAGTTCGCGTATGGGTCATTGCAATGCGTATGCTGCAGCCAATCTGCTCAGTCTCCCAGTAGCGCAGAATACTGACGGCCGCCGGAATGTCTCGCATAAAGCCTTCCACCTGTTTCCCGGCCCAGTTCATCTTATCGACGTCCGTGGTGCCAACAACGCAAATCTTGATACCATTCTGAGCAAGGACTGCCCAGCCTCTTCCTGACGAGCTGCCATGGATCCTTACATGCATTCGTCTAAACAGCTCTGTGAAATACAAGCACGTCCACACAAATCAAATCACAACCATTCTACACTCACAACATGGCTGTTTTTCTGCAAATCGTGGCCAGCTTTGTTTGATGTGAATAGCGTTGAATATTGTCGCAGGCTGCCGAGGATCTGGTGCAGATGCCTCCAGGCGCTGACGTTATACAAACCACTGTCACCCTCCACCTGCCAAGAGTCCGACATGGACTGCTGGATCTCGCTGCTCGAATTCTCGCGAAGATTCGCGTTGAGATAGTGAAAAGCTGATTTGCGCATTTGCTCCCTCAGATTTGGCAACTTGAAATCAATGTCATGGTTTCCGATGTTTGCCAAGTCCACACCCATAAGGTTCATAATTTCAATCAGCTGTGAGCCTTTGAAGACTTCTGCGAGGTATGAGGGTGCGATGAAGTCCCCAGCAAACATACCAACAGCAACGTCTCCACGATTCCGTGCTTCATCCTTCAGCCACCTAAAGGTCGCTCCAAAGTCGACAAGGCCCCCATACTGCACTGCTTCTGCTGAACCCTTCTCTCTCTGCAATGCGCCACAAGGCCCATCCAGGACCTTCACACCCTGACTGGCATTGGAATTCAGAAGCGACAGCGCTCTCAGCACTCTTTGGAAACTCCCTGGAAAACATGCCTCCCAGGATGGACCAAGTCCGCAGAGGAAGGGATCCTCGGGGCAGGCGGCCCCGTCGCATCTCGCCGCTGCTACATCGTCCAAGTAACCCAGATCAGCTTCCAGGTAGTAGTATGGAAGATCACTTGTCAGCGGAACAAGCTTGTACACATCATTTAGAGACACGATGGTCACCTTTTGCCCCACGCAGAGTAGAATGGCATGCAGAACAAAGATCGCGGCCGGGCCCTGAAGCAACTTGCGGGCCGGGGCCCAAAAATCATGTCCTGTGCGCTCCATGGCATTTTTGCTACTATCTCGAGAAAAAATCAGCCTCGTGAATGCCTTCTCGAAGACCCATGTTTGTGCAACGTCAGCAACACGCGCACAAATCGCACAAACTGCCTACTGTCCATAAGATTTCTTCAACATGCCGGATCTCAACCTCGCCTCTCTCCGGGCTCAGGACTGAGACATGCAATGAGAGCTGCGGTCGCCGGAAAGGTCAGCTCCCTGAAGTCTCTCTCAAAGCACGGCCGCTATGCTGAAAGAACATCAGATCTCTTGAACACTTGAACATGTTCATTTCCTTGGCCTCACGGAGGTGGCACATGGACGCGGTGGCGGAGTGGTGGAGGAAGATGCAGGTGAGCTGACAGGTTGAAGCTCCCAATTTGAACAATTCTTGGCAAGCTGTGCACTGTGCGTCTAGCTGAAAAAACACATGACTGCAAAATGGCAGCAGGGCCTGCAAGCTGAACACCAATCACTGTAGACTTGCAGTGGAACCTGACCGAACAAGGCTGTGAATCGGTGCCACTGCAACACAGTGGTCCAGCCGAGCTTCCCGCATTTTGCACCAAGCGGCCCACACATTGCAAACAGCGGCCTTGAGCTCCGTGCGAGCACTGCACAACCTTTGTTGGCGGTCAAAAGCTGATCAGACCACAGACAAACCACCCGCAGATAAGCAGCATCGCTGAGCACAAAGTGCGTCCTGAACCAAAGGCAGGCCCATCCAAAAAGCAAAGCTGTCAACAAAAGCCACCTTGCACATGTCAATTCTTGCAACAAGAGAAATGCTTACCAATTCAAAGCCAAACTGCATTGCAGCAAAGTCTGTTTGAGCTGCGCTGCCACCAGCCGTCCAAGCCTGTCTTGAAGTGATCAACTTGGTTCCTGCAAACAGCTGAGGATGCCTGTGTGGTCATCGTCATAGAAGCATCTGGCGACGGATAGGCGGCAGGACGAGGTGTTTGCTGACGCCTGGCGAACAGCAAATGCTTTGGATCTGGCTGTGGAGAACTCGCAATGCACATTTTTCGCCAGCAGAGAGGCCCTGCTTGAGCCTTCCAAGATGTGTCCAGACTCGATCAGCAACTCACATGACTGCCCGAATGCAGGCTTTCTGCACGCACAGTTTCTCGATCCCGAAGACACATACAGAAGCACAAACACTGTTTGCCCCTCTCAACATTGTCAACACCACACGTCTCTTGCGCAGAAAGAATGGAGGCCTGGCCAAATGCTCTGCATGCAGCTGCTGAAGAAAACTGTTTGCCTGCTCAAGGCGCAGTCCAGATAAGACGTGACTTGTTGCAACTCTATCGAAGTTGTCTGACCTGCGAGTAGTGGCCATTTGCCAATTGGCGTGCCGCTGTTGGGCTGCCAATTCGTAACCGCTTATGCAGTCGAAGGCAGAGCCTGAAGATCAACGCGTCTCTCCTAGCTGCTTGCACTTCCAAGCAGCAGAATGCAGCAGATTGAGGGCACCGCTGCTCCTCATCCATGGAGCGCTTCGGGGCACACGGAGTTGGTATCCTCAGTGAAAGGATAATGAAAAAACACAGACACCCATCGCTGTCAATCAGAGGGGCTGGAGATGGTGAAACTGCGGACGCATTGGTGTCGCCAAGACGGAGGCTAGCATGTAGCGCTACATGCAGCATGAAACATGTAGGCATACCGTGGTCCATGGTTTTAAGTTCATGCCCATCGAACTTGCTTCCTAAGAAAAGGCCATGTGTGAACCAATTCTGCAGGGCAGGGGCTACGCAGTGATGACATACTGCTTACAAGGATGATGTGATTAGGATGTGGTTTATGGAGGATGTCGATGGTACCTCTGATTAGCTAGCTTGATCCTCCCACGTGCTGGATGTGGCTGTTCTGAATTCTGACCGGCAACCACATGTTGGAGAATACGGCAAGGTATGCACACAGAATGCCGACAAAGTCGAGCTGCACAAGTCATGACGGTGAAGCAGGTTGAGTGCCAACACACCTGACCAGGCACCTTCTTGAAACTGGCTTGCCGGGAGCATCCGACCTCCAAGTGCGTCCTTGAGTCATGACCTTTCTGTCGTTAGCCAGGCTTTTCAAGCGGCGTGGTTTGCGCAGCTCAAGCCCGACTTTGCAGGCGATTCTGCACTGTGTGCCCGGGTCTTCCAGGCTCACAGTTCTCTTTCGCTTCTCCTGCAGCAGGCAAATTGCTATGCTTGTCCTTCGACATTTTGGGCCCGCATGCGCAACACCTTCCAGGATTTCTGCAAGCACTGGAGATCCGGCCCCCTTCGGACTCTAGCTTGCTCCATGTAGGAAAATGACATGTTGTTTGATGATGACCGCTTCCTTCAAGTGGAAAGCAGCTAGGCTCCCATGGGGAGGGTTTACGACTGCAGAATCCATTGGACGAGAGTGCCGAACCTTCCTGCGCAGCGCTTGGATTCACAAAACTGGCGCAGGCACTTTCCAGTCTCCTTATAGCTCCATGCTTGATTTCACATCTGCTTTGTCCTGCTCGATTATTTGCATGTTGATGGTTCTGGTACCGAGCAGGCAAGGCTTTGGCTCGCTAAGCAGGGCGGTTCATCAAAAGAAACGAGGTTCTACCGTACGGGGATGAATTCGCCCCCAAAAGAGATGAGGAGGCAGCCAAGCTACCTGCAGTCTTCAGAACTTCGCGCCAAGGTGCTTCCCATGGCCTCTTCGCAGGAGCTCTGCTGACTCAGTCATGTCAATCTTTAGGCTGCAATCCTCATGGAAGTCATCTGCAAAACTGCTTTCGTTCAGCAGCTGCCTGTCCAGCCAATCACAACTACTTGACCGGCAATCACCCAGGCTGCACATGGCGTTCAAACCAGCCGGGCACACTTCACCCCAACAGACACAGCAAGATTCTCCACCTGGCGTGACCCATGAGTTTGCTGGTGCCACAACCTGTAACAGTTGAGGCAAATTGAATGCCTCCAGGGCCAGCGCATGTACGGCCGCCGTGAAGAACTCTGACTCGCCAACAAAGCCATCCTTGCATGGGGGCTTGGACTCCATCCCCACCGCAGTGAGCGGTGCAGCTTCCGGTCTGCAAGCCCATTCTGAGGAGCTAGCTCCATCCAAGTCCATCCGCCTGAGCCTTAACATGCAAAGGCGGGCAAAGTGAAGCAATGGATTGCGCTGCGCTTTCTGCAGCTGAGGCTTTGGCAACTTGTCAGCCAAGGTCTCAGACCGAGTTTGCAGATGGGCACAACACCTCTGCACTACAACATGTTCTCATGTGCTCTGCTGGTTACGGAAATCTGCTGGTTTCGGAAACCTATGCTATAGAGGGGCGTGTCAGAAAGCACCGCGCAACTGATCCACATGAAGGCGGCGCCTTCTCGACATGAGCGCTTGCCCCACTTTTAATCAAATTCTCAAGAGATGTTCAGCGAATCAGGTAGGACAGGGCTTGAGACGCTACAGTGTTTGGCAAAGACGAAGATATCAGGCATGTGCTGCTTGTGCTGTTACTGTTGATTCTCTTACTCGTTGCCGTGGGGGAACAGGGTGTGCAGTGTGCACATAGCTCCTCATCATTCGAAATAAGAGATTGACTGGCACCCTTGGCGCTCCATTGAGAAGACATGAGGTGAACAGAGGGTGCTGAGAGCCAGACTGCTCTGCAATACGGAGTGAAGTCGCCTGCTGACCGCAGAAATAACATGACTGACAATGGAAGCCGTGAGTCCTTGTGCTTCTCTAGCCGTGGCTGCAGCTCCCGAAGCACTGCGTTGACCTTGAGATGTGATCATCCCTTCTGAGGTGCCAGCGGAGTAATCCAGGGGGCGTCACATCAATTGTCCTCTCTTCTTCGTGAAGGAAGCTCTGTCCTAGATGAACCTGGCGTGCCAGAAAAAACGAGCTGATAGGAAGTCATAATCTACCCCATGCCTGCTGAAACAAGTTCACCACCTAGGCTCCAGTACAATAGGCGGGCATCTGCACTCATGGAGCCAAGTTGCCGGCAAGAGATTGCGCCAATATCTCTGGAAACGCCAGCAGATGTGCTAGCACCAACTCCTCTTCGTCAACATGCAGTTGGATAGGAGAGGGGATAGGACCAGGCATGACTGCTCCTCCATCTCGTCAAGGTCCAGGCCTTCATCCCGCGGCGCTTCACGTGCAAGAATCAAAGTATCCTCACGCAGCACAGAAACATGGACAAAAAGACAGGCCACATGAAGGCACATCCTGAGTCGAAAGCCCAAACGAGCCTCACCGACTCTGAGTGTTCACCTGTGCTCGCTCCCAAGTACACCCCACAATCGCAGCCTTCATTCAAGCCTTCCCACGCAAAAGCTTTGTTCAGTGATTTTACTTGACAATTTTTGTCTTGCTTTCCCTCCGAGGCCAAGACCAGACCCGCACACCTAAGATGGTGAGATGGTGCCACCAACAGCTTGCCACAGTCAAGTCTCCCAGCGGCCTGCAGCTTGTGCTGCAGCTCGTCCCGCTGTTCTGCTGCCACATCGTGTACACCTTGCCAAAAAAAGCTCAAGAGAAAAGATACCGTGGCCGGAGTTGGGTATACGGGGCCTGTTTCATGGAAAGTGCAGAAACCTTTTCGTAAAGTGCGTGACTCGTGCCGCTAGCAAATTGGATGTTCAAGGTAGTTTGTTGTCTGGTTTGCATCCGATCCAACCTTGCGAATCTGATGTTGGCTCTGCGTGTGCACAAGGAATCCACATCGAGACAACTTCGGCAGGCCCACCGACTGACACTGCCGGGTGGCTTATGCGGGCTCAGTGCATTTGTAGACATGATTTTGCGGTGCCGCAGCCATCACCCACCGTCCAAGTGCCTTCACCGATAAAAACTACAGATGCTTTTAGAGGCCTTGAGGCTGAGTCGGAAATGCAACATCAATATCACGATAAGGATCAGCAAAGCAGCTGAGGTGCAAGCCCATTGAGCCTTGCAGTGCGGCTTGGTGCCTGCCACAGGAACTCAGATGGGAACAAGACTCTCTGAGAAGCTTCGCCAGCAGGACGCAGAAATCGCAGCATCCCTGACTGCACCGCGGGTGGCACGGCCCAGATTGCCATGAGTTACCTGGTGGATACAGCAATGCTTGGAGCTGCCAAGAACGAAGCAAAGGCCCAAGCCCGCAGGAGCGCCCTCAAGGCAACCTTGGCATGCAGTGCACAAGGAGCCAGATTACAGGGTCTTCAGCATTTGGCCTAAAAAGGTTACGGGCACAGACAAGGGGGGCCGAACTCCTGCTTACAACTCCCACTGTGCACAGCGTCACCTGAGTGCAGCGCCTTGTGCATAGCAGCATTCAAGTGGCGATATCTTCCAAAGCTTTCACAACACCACTTGCTGTTTAAGCAGATTCGCAGTGACAACGAGGAACGCATTGACGAAAGTGCTGCTCAAGCCCTTGACTCACTCGATTCTTATTCCCTCCCCCTCCATTCGCCCTTTTTGAGAATATTCCCTTGCCCCCCTCCTCATCTCGCAAACAAGGACAGATTTCCTCAAATGGCCTGAGACGGGGGCTACCAAGGGATGTCGGCTTGGGGAGTCGGCGTCACCCGAGGTCATGTCTCAAGCCTTGGTAGTCTGAGGCCATAGCCAGAGATGTTCAGAGCATACTCATCCTTGGCACCCCACACAGCCCGAGTCGTCCGTCTACTCTGCTGATTCCAGCTGGAAAGAGTTGTGCTGCGGCTTGTGCAGGCTGATTCTGAAGCATCAACATCAACAGCAGTTGCAGTCTGCGGAACAGAAAGTATCGAAGTGTTTGCAATGTCTGTTCATGAGCCGTACACCTGTGTCTCATTTCAACTATTCATGAATGGGCCTGGGCTGAGAAATGCGCGAACTGGTTCACAAACCACTCTTTCCCGCAATCTAAAGTAAACTGACACACGGGCCCGCCACATGCAATTTCTGTCCCAAGTCTTCCTTGAGACCATTCTTAGATCTCCCTCCGAGCAAATGCCCTCAGCTACAACCGGGCAGCTTCCTGTTTGGGGCAAACTTAGTCAATTGCAGGCAATTCATGCAGAGAGCTGCTTTCACGTATTCTAGCAGGATTCTCTTCAGGAACATTTTCTAGAGGTCGAGGAGACACACTTGGTCACAGCTGTGACAACCGGCTCGCATCTGGAAAGCAGAGCCCGAGGACATGGTTGCCATGCAGTGCAAACAATCACGTTTTGAGTCCTGCACTCTCACCGTCGAGTTGTGAAACTAGTCCCACAAACTTGCTCAATCCTCCCCGAAACAGGAGCTCCACAAGTCCTGCCAAGTGCAAGGAAGCTCTTGAATCAAATGCAGCGATTGGCGCAGGCATGATATGACGAGGTCTGCTTTTGCAAAGTTCCCCCGTGTCCGTGCAGAAGTTGCTCGGCATGGGAGGCGGCTCTTCATCAACTCGTATGACATCTCGAGGATCAACAAGTGCCCACTAGGCGCAGGACGGTGGCTTTCAGAGCGTAGCGGCATGAGAACGTGCAGCGCTTAGATTCTTAGGCTCTAAGGTTGCCACGGGATCAAAGAGCCGAGGACCACGAGATGCACAAAGCGTTGGCTCCTGAGCACGTCCCATTTGGCCCGTCTTAACCATCCAAATACTAGAAAGCTGTCGAGCCACCATGCAACATGCAAGTACGCTGCTTACAACCTCGTCTAGCCAATTTCTGGATTCAGGCTGCCCAGGCCTCCGCAATGTTGGAGAGGTTTCGACGAAACTCCTTTGTCGTCCTGCATGAGGCTGATCAAACTGCTCGAACCCTTGAACATCAATGCGCTTTTGGGCTCTAATGCTACGCGTCCTACACAACAGCCCTTGACATTTTGTTCTCTGATCCTCTGGCAACGGCCCATGCTCCCCTCAAAGCCAGCTCAGAAGAAGAGACTGGAAACTTGAAACAAAACATGAAACCCGGTGGTGACGACTCATAATTGTGCATATGAACTCTCTTAGCTGTCCACCTGACAAGCTGTCGGAAGTTTGCCAAAAGGTGGCCTCTTCGTCGCGATGAGGAACACATGATAGACCTTGGTTTGGCACCAACGTGGCCGCGCGATGTCACAGCTCGCAAAGCACTCCGAACGCAGCAAAGGAAACATTCAATGTTCAAGCATTTGTGGAAGCTAAAACTGAATCTGGTGGCACAACAAAGACATCGCTGACGCAAGTTTCTGCAAATAGCATCTCAGGAGCCCGACCCACAGCACAAACGAAAGAAGCGTCGCAATGCCAACAAGTGCACCAAGCCTTGGCAGTGGCAGAAGGCTATCACGATCTGCTACCTTCTTCATCAAAGTTAGCCAAGTCACGCAATCAGCGCGTAGAAAACAGGCTGCAAAGCCCCGCTGCTCACGTGAATCATCCCGTCAACCGCCAACTGCCACCAGGAAGACGCAATGGGCATCCACAACAAGGTAGTGTCATCAGCCCGCTGCACGAAAGTTCTCAACTCAATTATGGGTATGTTTGCTTATGTTCCAGGTAGGACCTATTCAATCACGAAGGTGCTCCGGAAACGAAAAGCTTTGGATACCCAGCTTCCACCTCGAAGTTCTCGCTGTTCAGGAACCAGAAACTCAGCCCCCAAAAGGGTTGCGGTCATTGTACTGGAGTTTGCGAGGGGTTGACGCAAGAGGCTTCCAAGCATGCAAATGTCATAATATCCTGAACCAGGGTACAGAACCGGCAGCACCATCATGGCCAAACAGAGCACCTGGGCGACACGGCCCTGCGATGCAACAGTTCAAGGCCATGGGACATTCAGTTGAGGTTGCAGCAGAGGTCACGAAGCCAAAGAAGAAATGGTAGTTGCGCTGGCCGACGCCTTGAGATGCTGCGCAAGCAACGTGATGTGCTGTAAACACACTTTATCATCTTCTTCCAAGGATGCAGCAATTGTTAACGAAGGGACAATGGTGATCGTACCTGGAAAATCACGGCGTCAATCCGTGAGAGCCACTCTGTCATATGATCCCTGTAGTTGGGCACCGCAAGACGCAGTTGTCACAGTCGGGACAATGTGAAGATCGCGGTGGCCTGCCAGAAGCGAAAACATCAACAAGATGGGAAGAGGATTATCCAACATCACTGCAACGATGAGTTCAACGGCTCGAGAACAGCTCGGATGCCGAAAAGCTCCCTCAAGCCTGATGATTCGGCATGTCCTGCACCATCTGTAGCCACGACCTGGCGGGAATTGCTCAGGATTGTGCCTGTTTGGTTCTACACCCGAACGACTTATGACAATACAGTCAGCAAGACTTGTAAGCTCCACTGGCAGGTTTCTGCCCCCTCCCCTGACAATGCAGCTGGAAGGCTGGTTTGCTGCTGCCGGCAGGCTCAGGTTTGCGCCTGCCGTCCAGTGGAACCGAATCGCTGGCCAACAGATCCTGCAGCAGCAGCAAAATTATTGATTCAGGGTTCAACGCATCGACCCCTGCGAGATTACGCTGAAGCAGCACAACCGCATGGCAGCTGATTCGCAACGGGTGGAACTGCAGAAGCAGAGAACTTCAGAAACAGCAAGCCGCAACTCTCAGCTTCCAGCGTATCCTAGCCTTTCCTGCAACTGCTGTGCTGTTTTGGTAGCAATCACCACCTCATGGTCAACATCTCAAGTTTGTGGAAGCCCAATGCAAGTTGCAGGACTGCCTCTCGGCGAGGGATGATACCAGGATCAGAACAGCATGTAGCCAGCAAGAAGCCGGTAGCCATCAAGAATACCTCCACTGACAATGTCTACACAAGCCTCAACTCCTCCTTTAGCTCGGAGGGCACGGCCAAAGTTGCCAGGGGCAGCGCGTAGCAGCCTTCCCGCCATAGATGAGGAAACACCTCCAGGGGCAGTCCACACCAGCAGGTGCATATGCAGATGATTCCTCTGCAAGGGTGCAAAAGGTGCAACTCTTTGCTTGGTCGCGGCATGTGTGACTGAAAGACCAAGCATACCCTAGCTATGAGACCTCTCAGCCCCTGGCCCAGATGAAATACAAGGAGCACGGCGCCAGGATGCAAGTCCAAACCTCACGCGACTTCAGATGCCGTCGCAAACTTGCCTTCCATGGACATGTGTTTTCTCAGGCGTTGTGTAAGGATCCGACACAAAGGTTTGGAACCGAGCAGTTGGGAGTGATACCCATCTCTGTCTCACCACCTTGACACCAGTTCCCATGCAGAACTGCAAACATTTGAAATACCCGCCTGTCATCATGGTACCTTTGCAGAAGAACTTGTTTCGAGAAGGCCAGACCTGAGACTTCTTTACAAAAAGGCCGCGTGAAGAAGCATCACCGCCATTTTGGTTTGACACAACTCCCTCGGGCCGCGGCATTGTAAAGTCTTTTCTTTGGGCGCTCTGCCTGCCCGGCATGAAAACCTGATAGCGCATCGAAAGGCCTCCTTCAGGCATGCCGTTGGAACCTGTCTGCTGGGCTGCGTCGACGAACTGTCTTCTCCGTTGTCTTTGCTTGTCAGCGGCTGCATTTCCAAATCTCGCGGATCTCTGTCACCTGCAACAACGCGAGGACAGATTGAGCTATTGGCAAAGAATAGAAAACAATTTGGAGATTGCCGCAAGTGCCTTTGCCAAGAACCGATGGAGCAGCATTGGACGGAGCAGATGGCGTCATTACCGGCATATTGCCTCCTCAATCAGCGACTGAAAACTGGATATCGCAGTTCGGGCAGCCTTGAGAAGGAGAGACAATTGGCCATCAAGCCCAAGCATGCCCCCACACCAGTATGCATTGTAACAACAAAGACTTCTCTGATTGCACGTCAACTTGTGGGACTTGCATTATACCAAACCTTGCTCATTTCTGGCTCCCACGCTCTGTGCTTGAATCATTTCACCACACACGTCGTCCTTGTCTAGGACTGGATTGGAACCTCGAGCCGCCTTTGAAAAGTGGTTGCATGCCAGTGACACACGGAAACATCAAACGAACTGGAAGACCGAGTGGAGAACGAGGCTCATCACTGAATGAAAAATCTTGGTCGCCGTCCTGCAGTGGGCCGTGCGGATCAGCTTTCAAACTCTGTGTTGCAGATTTCCTGAAAAACAATATCACCCCTTGTTATCGTCAGTCCGCAACATCTGCGCTGAAATGTTGCACCGCCATGCGGCTTCAGATACCATGTACTGCATGTGCAATGGTGTCAGCGCAAAAACAACATATCTCAGGATTGAGTGTGTGGCCCTCGCGATGCGGAACACAATCATGTGTAAAGAATCGAGGCCAACTGGAATACACAAATGTACACAATATGGACTTACGGCATGTAGATGAAATTGGGCAAGGCAATTGGGAAGCTCATCGCACGTTTACGATGTCCAAGCAAGTCACATCAGCCTGAACCCGGGGATAACCATCAAAGGGCGTCCATGTTGTGCTTGGGATTGGTCTGCTTGAAATCGAGCCACAATTTCCAGCAACCAATACACATGTTGCCAACTGACATGTAAATCCACATGAACGTCAAACATTGGGAAATGCAGTTACATGGTGCAATCGTTGCGGTAAATCAACGTGATGTACGTTGCCATGCTACATACCGTGCATGTTAACAACTATTTCTTACATGTGAGAAACACACACCAAATTGACCATTGCACTTTTAATTCCAATTTGCACCAGGTTATTTTTGGATGAGAACGTGTTTGCAATCAGGTTTGCCAACTGTCTCAACATGCTTTTGAATTTAAGATAGTGTACGAGAGAGCGTCCATGGAGATGCTGCGATACTGAGCAATGCAAAAAATGCAACTTGCATCGGCACGACGCGATGCGTACTCACTATGGACTACGTGACGCGTGCAACTTTCACAAAATACAGCTGAAATTCCCATTGATCACTGCGCACATGCACAATATTGTCGCCGCCAAAGGAGAACCAGCTCTTGGAAAAATCTGTGAGCATAAGATACGGACGAGCAACATTCAGTTTGAACAGGTGCTGCGGCCCACCATGTTGCGTAAAACGTTCTGAACTATCAAGTGTTGAAATGTGTTTTCCGTCAGGGAACATGAAATTGCATACTGCTGCTCTTGGTCCAAGTACGTCAGCTTTCCAAACACAGCATATAGACGAAAATACAACACTCACCTCGCAAAACACCCCATGTACGCAACGTCTCTTACTCCAGGTGCACATCTCCCACATGCTGCGATGTTTTAATTTGCTCCTTCCACGACCAAAATTTGTGCCAAAGACTAACGGCCTGTGCATAAAAAATTGTGGGTTGCGTGTACGAAATGCGGACAAACAACAGAAAGCGCATGTGGAAAAACCTTTGTTTTGTTGACACTCCTTTCGTCCAGGCGTGCTGCTGCCAGCATGCCTTGGCTCGGCCGGGAACGGGCACTGAGTCTCACAGCTGCGAACATGCAAAACGTGATTACATTGCCCAAGCTAAAAACTGTCAGGCTTTACATTTTGAAAACATCCTCGCGGCGCGAACGGCATTCATCTCCCGCGGCCTGATTGGGTTTTTAAACTTGGTTCCAACTCCCACTTCGTACGTACAAGTGGTGTTGGTGGTGGATACTATAATGTTTGGCAGGCGGACCAGTCCGTTACGTCAGCGTGGTTTCAAGGGCAGGGCAAAAACAGTCAGCAGCAAACTGCAGCGCACTTCGCTTTCCCTAGCGAACTTGAGTCCAATAGCAGAAAACAAATAGAGACAGTTCAGTCTCCATCGGTCAGACCCAAGCAAAGTTGGACAGAAACCTGCGGAACGGAGAGAACTACAGGCAGAGAAAAAAAGCTGCATCGCCGGCCCATCATGAGCAAACATGACAGGACAGACACGCAGACTGCAGCGCAGGCAGAGGAGCGGAGCTCCTAGCCAACAAACAAAAGTCCACGGCAGAAGTCCAAGCGTGCATGGCGAGCGGAAAGGACAGGGCCAAGGACAAGGCGCACAGGGCAAGGCCCAAAGGCAGAAAATCCAAAGTCCAGCGGTGACAGGGTATGGCAGGTGGGAAGTTCAAAACACAAAAGCTGACGGGAACTTGAGGCTGATGGCTGCAGGCGGGCACAGACGGTGGGCCTGCAGAATCAGCCCCCTGTTGCGTCCGAATGTCAAACACACAGATATACATACAGAATCATGTTCGTTCAGTATGTCGTCCTGTCCGCTCACATATATTCAGCGCTTGTCCCCCACCCCCCCATGGTATGGTCCCCCCGCCCTCCCAGCCCAAACCTCACAGGGATGGGGCCCCTCGAGGTCGCGATCCTGGTAACTGTCCTTGTTTTTGACGCCTCAAAGCTGCCATCCTTGAAACTGTCATCACTTTTGATTCCTCGTGCTGTCGTCGCATCTCAAAAGTCTCAACAGTTGCAGGAATGGGGCCTTAATGTCATGATCCTTGTACCTGTCATCACTTTTGGACCTTCTTGTGGTCTTGGCGTCTGAAAAGCGAACATTCAGGGGCCTCCCGGGGTCGCAATCCTTGTACCTGGGGCTATAGCTCGACTTGAGCTCTTTCGTGATCTGGCACTACAGGAACCTCCAAAGAAACTTGTCCAAAATCATTAAAAGAATTCAGGTAACAGCATTAAAAATAATATGGGTTATGAAACAGAATCATCTACGAATACCCACACCCTCTTAATATACCATCAGAACCACATGGACAGAACCATCAAAACTACAGGACCACGGGGGGAGGGATAATCACCAGCACAGCATAGGTACCACGCAGAGAGGCTTTGAGTTTCTGCCAATTCACATCTTAGTTGTCATGGATTACACAAGAAGTTGCTGGCGCTTCAGTCAAGTTTTGGACTGGATATAAGATCGTCAAGCGGCTTTTGAGGCTTTCGCGCTAGATCTTGTTGACTTGCTTCCATGCGGCAGTCTCTCTTACTGAAAGCGGAGTGCTGTTTGTCTTGCTCACTTGACCTGTGCATGTCTGCGCGATTGCCTATTGTGTTGGTTGCTTGTATCAGCTCGATGTGAATCTGCCTAGGCCGGTGCTCGACTTGACAGCCTGCGACCTACTCTCCTCCCTGTTGGTCCTTTTCCAAATGTTCACCTACTGTAAGTTTGGACCAGGCCAGGGCTCGACCTGACAGCCAACGTCCCAACTTGCCTCTGTCTTTTGGCGATACATGTGCTCACTTGCCTGATCTGGACATGATTTTCCAGTTTGGCTGAATTGCCTGTTCACGCGGCCTTTGCCGCGCCTCTAGTTTGTGCAGTGGGCGTGGCACGCCGTGGAGATCAGCTGAGCTAGCACGCAATGTCCAGTGTGATCTTCCACATCTGGATGAAGCACGCCGAGATGGTGAGTGGAAGCAAGCGTAAGCACGAGACTAGTCCGTGAGCTATGTTCCATGACGACTGATCCACCGTAGCTTTGCCTGCAGATCATGTCATCATGTATTGCCCACGCCTTTGTTTGATCTGGTGCTTGGAAAGCTGCGCAATCTGCCCCTGCAGGCAGGTGATCTGTTAATCCTGCGTGCAAGATCTTCATGGCAAGATGCACATAATTTGCTTTCTATTTCCGTTACAAGTGGACTCCCTTTCTGATGCTCCTGCAGTACACAAAAGCCATGTCGCTTTCTGAGTGCGTGATGTTGTGCCCTTCAGCACATGGAGCATTCCTGCATTAATCTCAATTCCAGTCCTACTGTAAACAAATGTTATCCGAAATGCAATCGGATGCTTGGCTTTAGCCTCTTACATCTGCAAGCTTCTGGCATAACAACCTTGCTGATACGCATGAAAGCAGGCCTAAACTCATGAAACTTCAAATCGTGAACCAGATACGAGAAGAGTTCATCTTTCAGAAGCTCAGCAGTTTCCCTACAATTTCGCTGTAGACCCAGCGGGCTAGCCGCGGGCTCATAAATGTTGAGCATTGAACTTATTTGACTTAATTTAGGTTCTGCGTTGCGCCATAGTGATATGGAATCGGAAGACATCATGGCGTCTGGCTCGGATGCAGAATGTCTTGAAGGCAGGAATGGGTAGCTGCTCTTAAGAAAATATGTGCTGCTGACAACTGCGCAGGCGATGCAGATTCGAATCCAGGAAGCACTGGAATCACTGGAAGCGCAGCACTCAACTTCAAAATCCCTTCAGTTGGTGGTTACAAGCTCGAACATCTCAGGCGCGATCATGGCGGAAGATAGCTATGACTCCGAGGAGGTTTTGCCTTGTTTCAATGACGTTGTTGGCTGGCGGCTAGAGTCGTGGTTGTGGTTCGTCTTGAAAGGACCGAGAACTGGATTGCCCCATCCAGAATGACCAAGTAAACCATCTCGAGATCGGGAATGATTTTGCTGTCCGTGCAGGTTCAGAGGCGAATCTCAAACGCATAAAGCGAGGAAAATAACATGATTGAAATATATTCAATCAAAACACAAAATTGATTGATACAATCAAATCTCACGCGGACAGAAACCCTCCTCTTTTTCGTCACTGCCGGGAATGCATATCCAAATCCCTGTCTGCAACTGTAACGCAGGACAGGGAGGAAGATATGGCACGCAAACCCCCC